GTAATATTCCCTGATAATTGAGGATATGCGCCATATGGCCAAAAAGACATACTTTTAAACAGTTTCCAAGTAAAATTTGTTGTCCTAAATGTCAAATCTATTCTAGTAAGCGAATACAGGTAAATTGACGATTGTTCCCTTATTTTTCCGACATTTTCTCCGGATTTTTAAGTTCCCTGACATTTCCTGTTTTTTCCTGAATTTGGCAACCCTGAATATTGTCAGTCTATACTTTAACTTCTGATTCTTTAACTCTTTTACTGACTCCTTCCATGGACAGAACTCGAAGTTTCAGGAGATAGAAATTACCGCACTTAAGGAAAAAATTCTCGGTCTGGGGCTGCTCAACTGATTCCTTCGTATCTAAACCTAGAGGGAGAAAATATTGCCTCAAAAGGGGGAAAGTATGAACCCCTATACTTGTTTATAAAAATTGTTAAAAGAAAGATCCGTTTTCGAGCCTCATGGAAAAATCATTACCGAATCTCCACCAATCTCTAGCAACCGAAAAATTACGCTTTCTCATTCGCCTATTATATCTCCCGTTTAAGGAAAACTTTGAACTCTCATAAACTTTTAAACTTTCTCTGCTTAAACTTTCATGAAACAAAAAAATGATCTCATCATTACACTGAGCTGATCATCTATGTGGTTAAAATTTCGCAACACGGACATCCATGAGGCATGAACAGCTGCATCCTATCGAGGATGCTCTGGATGCCCGGCATCGAGTCCCCACAGGCCGAAGAGGTAGTTCCTGTAAAACGCCTTCGATCTTTTCGACGCAACACGGACATTCACAGAGAACGAATAGTTGCATCCAGGAGTTTACATGCAAGAACGCCACGCTGTCTACTTCTTGTTTTGCGGGGAGACTCACTGTAAAATAATTGTTCTAAACTTGTTTTCGTCAGAGAGTTGGACGTAAAGGTCCTACATAATTTTTTCTTCTTTATAATGCAAGGGCTATCCTAAGACTGAGATGTCTTGGAATAACTTCAATGGCGCGCGGCGAACTCTAATTGTGCTAAGCATATATTCATCCGACTTTCTTCAATTTGTCTTTAAAGACAGAAAGCTTTGGTGCAGCATGCTTTAAATTTTTATGACTGGACAAATTTAAAGAAACAAGCGACGGTTTGACAATGTCAAATGCGGTTAAGCCGATTGCTGTTTAAAGCGTCCAAATCATCATATTACAGGGAAATCAATTGCCACAGAAGTTCTGGGAGCCCAAAATGTTTGATAAATCCTATTATAAACCCTTTTTGTCTGCGCTACAGACCCAGAAAAAAATTCGAGGAAACGTTCAATATAAAACCGATCGATGGTTCCGAAACCAAATAAAACTCGATAGAAACTGCAAAAAGACCACGCATGACGTACGAATACGTTCTTTCGCGGAAAAAATCTAATCAAAACGAGCAGCTTTATCCGGCATTTTCCGTTCCGATTAAATATTCCAAACTGCGTCGGGCAAAATCCAAAATCTATTTCGGGTAAAATCGCAGAGCTTTTTTCCCCCTTAAAAGACTAAACGAACGTATTTATGCTAAAAGGAACTATGTGCATAGGATTTGCGTGGAGCATAGTTCCTTTCAGCGCATAAATACGTCCAAATACCGAAACGCATGTAAAAAAGCTCTCTGCGTTGATGTTGTCGGGAGTGCGCTGGACCGCAATGAGTACGTCAGCCCTATCGCTCGTCATCGGCATTGTTACCACATTGTACTGAAAAATCAGCACTACTTTCCATTGAAACCCCAAGCAAAACGTATCAATTTAATGGCACGACCTGGCAACCTCGTCATCGGGAAATCCGGGAACGGCTGAAACAGCAGCGATGCAGCACGTCACGCCTCTGTCCCCTGTTTTCCGGTACTTTTTCCGATGTTTCAAACGCACGCTTTGCGGCTTTGTTGCCGGATTGTGCTGAAAAAGCGACGATTTTCTCCGTTTAAAACCGTGCGAGATATTCACATTTTATCGTAAAACCTGGCAGCGATGGTTTGCGGTGGCCGCGTTGACGCACTCACACCGCCGACGACGATGAAAATATCGTTACTGTCGCATCGCTGCGGCTCCACTCCTGGACTTCATCAACTGGCTCGTGTGGAAAAACGCTTCTCACACCCGCACTTTTTCGCGGTTTATACAGTCGTAAAAATAGTGAAAGTTCCGAATTTGACAGACGTGATTAAGTTGGTTCGATTAAAAAAAAAAAAAAAAAAAAAAAAAAAAAAAAAGGGGGAAAAAATAACAATAATAAAAGAAAAGAGAGGAAAAATACCTTCACTGGAAAAAAACACATTGGATCTGGAGCCCAGACTCTTGAAAACATTGACAAGGAAAAGGACTCTTGATTCAATCAGATTTTTGCTTAAATCAAGAGGAAATCCGCCCAAAATTAAGAGGCTTGGTTCTTGATTTAAGCAAAAATCCGATTAAATCAAGAGTATTTTTTCTTGTCGATGTTTTTAAGAGTCTAGACTCTAGATCCAATGTGTTTTTTTTTTCCAGTGTTTTCTTTGACTTGTGTGGGTGATATATTCTTAAAGAGGATTAATATGCAGTAAGAACATAAAGCAGAATTTGAATAGTGTTGAGTCCGCACTATTTTGCGAGGAAAACAAGGATAAAACGTTTAAAATTTTGAGCTCTAGTGAGTGCCAGTGCAAGACTGGGGGGGGGGGGGTNGGGGGGGGGGGACTACTTTACCACCTTGATAAATATAATTCAATCCACGCTTCTTGATGTTTTTCTCTTGTAGAATTTGAATAAGTATTATTTCAAAGTAAAATAGTATAAATTCGCTTATATAATTGAAAAATGGTAAAAATTTAAGGCTTCGTTGGTCTATGATAGATATGCATCTCGCAAGGTTTATCAAAATCAAAGTTCCGATTTCTTTATTATTCTCCTCGTCAATCAATGAGCAAACTAAATGGAAATAATACCTCATCACGGCCAAGTTTTTTTCTTTGAAAAAAAAAGAATAAGAAAACTAAAAATGACACATTTCAAAACATAGAGAAACTTTTGGTCAATAATAAAACGATTTTCACAAATATTGTGACTGTATAGGCATACATTCTTTAAAAAAAGCTATTCTCGATAATTATACCACAAATTTAGCTGAGTCGATATTGTAGGAGCAGAGTCTCTACTGTCCGCATATTACTTAAATATAAAAATAAAAGCAACTACTGATCATTTTTTTGTTTTACTCGGCGAAATAAAGTCAACAGTTAGCATTTTGACGGCGTAAAACACACATATACTTCATTTTATGGCAGTCAGAGGCAACTAGTTTTTCGGAGCTTCAACTACGCTCGCTTCGAGACGCCTCAAAAACAGGCTCGGCTGAACATCTTCCCACGGAGCCTTTCTCGAAAGATAATACGGCTGGAACTGATGTCTGAGGAACAGACAAGTAATTTTCCCCGAGCCGAAATCCCAGTTGAGCCGGGCGACGTCAAAACCGAGCATGCCGCTCAACTCATGAGCCCTAGCTCACACGCATCCTTGCGAGACTCGCGGCTCACGAGAAAAGGGCCTCGTTAGGTTCGACCGACTCGGTTATTCGCAGCGAACTTCTGGCTGCACCGACGAGACGCGAATAAGATGTCACTCCGCCTTCAACCCCCCCCCTCCCTCCACCGCCCCGAAAGAGGATCAGAGGCGTGACGGCAAAAATCCGTCACGTGAGTGAGGCTCATTGCATAAACTCGGGGCGTTGCTCGGGACGGAAGGAGGCGTGGGGGGGGGGGGCGAAACAGGTGAAAGTTTCGAATCGATAAACGGAGCATGGGCGCGAAAGGACTAAACAAAGTACAATCGAACAAAGTTTTGAAACGAGGAGGGGAGATCTGGGCTGGGGGGCCCGCGCCTCCCCCCGGTTGCCGTCGCTTCGGTTCCTTGATGAGAAGAGTTGGGAATGTGTCAATATGAAATTCATCTCGCGATAACTCACCGTGCTCCGACCCGGCCTCCTGTTCGCGTTGACGAGATTTCAAGTTAGAATGGATCCGGAGTAACAGAAAGGAGCCAACTTTTTTGACGATCAAGAGGTGGGCTTGTACGTTGCACTGACAATGAGAGAACTTAATGATGATTATCATCGAAGGTGTGACATTCCGTATGAGATTTTAATTCAGATCTGTGTTCACCAATTTGGTATGAATATCGATTTGTGCTCGATGATTTTTGCATCGAATTTGACTATTCTGATCAAAAATACGCAAGAAAAAACAAGCTGCAGTTCGTTCAACTTAGAGGAGTAATAAAACGGAACATTTCTCTGAGAGATAAAAAAAAAGAAATTTCACGACTAGCCTTGTATTCCAAATTATTTGGTTCCCTTTCACCGAACTCGATCGATATTTCATGCTTATGAAAACAGGGGGAACACAGCTCCACCTTGGAATAATGGTTACCCATAATTGGAGAAAATGTGAACGAGACAGAAATGAGACAAAAATTTGTATCCATAAGTTATCTTTGGGTTATATATTAGACACGACGAAATCCAAAGTTTGTGTTGATTTTGACACGACGAAGCACAAAGCACGATGGAACAACTGATAAGATCCAGATTCAACTGAGTCCTTATCAATTATTGTTCTTAGCATTGACATCAACTTCAGTATAACTTGGATTGCATTTTGCAAAAAGGAACCAAGAGCATTGCAATGGTGCTAAGATTGTGCAATTTCTTTTGTCTTGGAAGAAAAACTCTGATCATCTGAACATTTTCAGTTCTACACGCTAAAATCTGTAAATTTAAGACAAAAAATACCATATAAATTTCATATTTTTGCATGATTTCAATAGTTTTATTGCAAAGGGTGAAGTTGCAAAATATTAGCAACATGACATTGCTCCTGGTTCCTTTTTGCAAAATACGGTCCATTTATTCTGCGCTGCGTTTTTCCTGCGAGTTTGGCGTGTTGGTGAAAAAGGGAGTGGAGGAAAATAGTGGACAGAGAAAAGGCGCTTACCTTGGATATTGGCAACACGGACTGGTTGTCGTCCTTTTGAATTTCAAATCGGCTGGAGATTTTCTTCTTGGAATCCTCGGAGGGATTCCGGTGTCCGGGACCAGATGACTCGGCGTGAATGTATCGCACGCTCCAGACGATTTTCCCTTCCTCCCAGACCCCCGACTCCTCTTGCGCCACCTCCACCAAAACTGTCGCCACCTCCTCCAGACTGAAACACGTACAACACAGTTCAATCAAGGAATCAGTCAAGAAAACAACTTTAATTCTATTGTAACGATGCCATTTTCCATCAAATGTCAATGTAGGAATAGTTGGTGTCCTCCACCAACCTAAGCTCTCAGACAATGTCGAGGAAAAATTGGATTGCATTTTGCAAAAAGGAACCAGAAGAATTGCGATGATGCTAAGATTGTGCATTTTCATCCTTCGCAATAAAATTACTGAAACCATGAAAAAATGGGAAATTTATATTGTAATTTTGTCTTAAATTTACAGTTTTTAGCGAGTAAAATAGAAACTGTTAATGGATAATCAGGTTTTTCTTCCAAGACAAAAGAAGTTGCACAATCTTAGCAACATTGCAATGCTCCTGGTTCCTTTTTGCAAAATGCAATCCAATTGTCCTACTATTTCAGGTTTGAATTGAAAATCCAAATTGAAAACCAAATTGAAATTTTTCCTTGATTTTTTCCGCGAATTAATCTCATTTACTTCACCATTAATGATTGAATCGCTGAGAAAGAACGTATCAATTTTAAGATGAGCCTTGGGCTGCGTTATAGTACTTTTATTCTAGGGCTAATCTCAAAATAGATATTTTTTTTCCAAAAGAAAATCGATCTACTTATGGGCAGCTAGCCTTTTTTTTTTAAATATTTTCCCCGAACAATTCCAGTTTCCAATTTTACACTCAGTAGCGAGAAATATAGGGGGTAACAAACTAACTGTCATTAAGAACGAACGCATTTAAGTATATTTATCGATCCGCTTAAACGACGTAATCAGGTCCTTTCAAAAAAAAAAAAAAAAAAAAAAAAAAAAAAAATCATTTCTGGGAAAACTATGCACGCACTACAAACAATTTGGAAATCAGGACTAAACAAAGGTGTAAAGATAGACAGCTTAAATTCAGAGTGCACGTTGAGGCAGAGACGTAAAGTGTAAAGTTACTCCCCTCCTCAAAGAAAATCAAATAAACAAAAAACTCTTCAGGGCAAAGTTTCCAATTCAACGGCAAACAGCTAACGATTAACGCTGAAATTACGATACAGCCACTGTGGTTAGCTTGTATATTTTCTCACGCTTCCATATCTTCAAAGAAACACCGTCATGTTACGTAAGTCCACCGAACCAACATTGCCTTCCGGGAAAGCACAAGCTTACCGTTGTATTTCTGCGCCTAGGGTGTAGTATAAAAAGTTTCGCTAAGGTGCAAATTGCTCCTTTGTTGAAGTGGTCGTAAGTTTACAGTCATCGCCTGGTACCTACTTACACACTTACGCCCTGATAAAATATAGTCATGGCATTCATAAATAAGGACTCATAAATATAAAACTGAAGTTTACTGCGTTCTCACGTTCCAGTTTCGCCGTGCTAAGGAAGAACGCCGTATGAACCTTCAAGCGTTGCCACATTTCATCTGATACAACTCAAATATCCTAGTGAATTTATGAAAATTTCCCATTCGATTTTTCGGGTAATTATTTTAGCAATTTTACCTAGAGTTCCGAAAAATTTCCAGGAGAAACATTCATTACTTTCCTCAAGAATCATCATTTTACCGGAGGAAATTCGGCAACTCGCGGTTGTTCATACGGCGTTCTTCCTCAGCACAGCAGAGTTGTTCGACTACCTCGCTTCGGCGTTCCATAGATTCGAAAGTTGCTTATAAGTTACTCCGGAAGAAGACAATATGGAAAAACGCATTAGAATATGGAAAACCCGAAGTTCCCGGTCCTTCTTTATTCCGACTCGAGGGGCGATAAGTAACGCTGAACTGGCACACCTATTTTCGAAGTTATGCGCCCCGCTTTGAAATGAAGGCGCGAGGTGTAACTTTATAAAAATACCCTTTTCACAGCTGGGACAGCCCGTCGCGTAATATTTACGTTTCAAAGAACTTCCGAACTTACGGATATTTCATGGGGCGCAGGGGAGGTTCTGCGGGAACTGTGGCCGGGGAGAGGGCACAGGCACACTGCCATGATAGAGAGAAACGTCGTATGAGCTTTCGGACCTTGCCAAATTTCCTTCGATTGAAGGCAATATTTCTGAGAACACTTTTGAATGTTTTCCCCCGACTTTCCAAAGAATTTCATCTGCGAATTGATCTGGAGTATTCTAAGATTTCAAGAAAGCATACTTACGTCTTTCTACAAAAATGAATATTGTATCAGAAGGTGTTTCTGCTGGTATTACCAAAAAAGACATTGAGGTCAAAATATGAAGTTTTGAGAAATGGACCAAATGTTGTTCAAGGGGTGAAATTTGTTTGATTAATTATTAGTTCTTCGTGCGATAAACATCCCAAATATTTATCGTCCTAGTGATACAAATTCGACAAATTTTATCTTTAACTTTTAATCATGAGAAAAAGTGTTAAGGGTTATCCCCTAAAATCGTGTTACTACCCCAATTTGTAGGATGATATGGACATTTCCTATTACTTGTGCGGTGGTACTAGGTATAGTACCGCAACATTTGGTTTCAGGACATTTTGTCAACGATTTTTTGCCCGCGCACCTTTTTTGCCCAGTAGTTTACGCCCACACGTAAAATAAGCAACAGTGACTTTGTCCAAGCGTTATATTTTAGTCGGTATGTAAAATTATATTGAAAATATGGAAATGAGAAATTGATAGAGAAGGAGGTTTTGCTATGGTGGCTCATTTTCTAAAAGAAATGTTATTACTTTCTCCTTTTGAATTATCTGTTTAAATTCTCATGGGTGAATATTTGGTTTTATTTCTATCCTTAAAATATTCGACGTACAAAATACCTTATATAAGGATAGATACTTTTTTTTATTTTTTTAATTTTTTCTTTACGAAATTATTACTTCATTTTGAAAACATTTATATTTTTAAAACGTGACAAATATTTGTAAAACCTTTTCCAAGCGACATTAATCTCAATGAGCCGCAGTTGTGCCGACAGAAACTGCAAAAATGAATAAAAGAGGAAAAAAACAAGAATCACGTAATCTTTAGTTTTAACCCATTTGTACATCGATCATTTAGAGTCAAATACGTCAAATTTTGAGTGGTTGGTTGCGCGTACACCTCGCTGCAGCACAATAAAAGCACAATATATGTAAAAGAAAAATTAAAGTGCTTTGGAAATCATTAAATTTGACACGAAATCACCAATATTTAAAAAACACACATTATATTATCATTCTTCTTTGATAAATTGATACATATTTTTCCCCATCAATTTAAATGAGCATAATCAATGCAGGGATTGCAAACATTTCAAAATCATGAGTTAAAAAACGCTGACCATGCAAGTATAAATATTAAAGCCTAACAGAGTGAAGCGGCGTGCTGCCAGCGCGAGAGGCTCACTGGCGCCTACAAACCTAAGTGGATACTTCACGCATTGCGCAATACTTGAAGTATCCAAGTGGAAAGTATCCAAACCCAAGTGGGTTTGTAGGCGCCAATGCGCGTTCCGCGCTGGCCGCCCGCCCGCCACCGTGCGGCGGCGCCTGAAGCATCTATTTCACAACAGAGGTGTTGCACAGTGTTTTACGAAATCGAACGAATCAAGAATGACAGGCATCCTTTTAAAATACAGATCTTTCCTGGCAAAATAAATCAAGATACTTAGCGTACACAGGAAAAATCTAAGAGCCCTCAGCTGAGGCAAATATAGAGGTTTATCCGGTTTAGGTATATAACAAGGTGGGAATTTCTTGAAAGATAATTAAGTCCTGTTACACCAAAGAGGTGTAAAGAGTTTTAGTGAATTTTGTCTCATGGAATTGACGCTCCCCCATTTTTACCAAAACTCTCAACTATACATATATTATTCTCCGTTGGACCGAACAGACAAAACAAAAAAAAACAAGCAAATCCTCATTCTTCCAAGACATTATACATTTTCATCCAAAAACGTCGTGAGCAATTATTGTCGCTTGTATTTACATGTGGGCCAATTAACTTTGGGTCTCAACTGGCACGGGGACCAAAACTCCCGTGCCGAAAAAAACGCGTGGACGTAAATTACTGGAAAAAACACGTGCGCGGACAAAAAATCGTTGACGAAATGTCCTATAACCCAACATTTGGGTTAGTCACCTAATTTATCGGGCTACTATAACAACTGATAGGGGTACTACTACAACTATATATACCACAAATCATCCAACAACCTCGTGCTCGTTTTCCCGGGAAAAGTTAAGCTAGACAGCCGTATACGCATTCTTCTGCATGCTTGTTTTCTTACGTTTCCAACACAAAAAGAAAACGAACACATAGACGTCGTCGGCAGAAAAGGGTAGCTGGATACATTTTGCACCAAACGGTGGTAAGTCTAGCTCTTGATCAGGGTAATAGGATAGCTCACGGCTGTTTTGTCAGAAATGACGTTCATTTTTGCCCACTTGCTGCTCTCCGTCAACTGCCGTATGCTTCAAGTAAGGTGAATTTTGCGATTTAAAGAGAATCAATCGGTTATTTAAATTAGATCCGTGGCATTTTCACGAAAACTTATTTACGGAAAGATGGCGGATTTGGTGACATTCGAAAGTTCATACGGCGTCGGCAAATCTGCCGTGCTAAGGAAGAACGCCGGGTGAAAATTCGAGAGTTGCAAAATTTCCCCAGATAAAACATGTATGTTTGACGAAATTTATGCATATTTATCCTCGAAATTTTCAAATATTTCAGATTAAATTGCGAACAAAATAGTCTGAAAAATTCGGAGAAAAATATTCACAATTTCCCCCGATAAATTCGCATTTTATCAGAGGAAATTTGGCAACGCCTGAAGGCTCATACGGCGTTCTTCGTCAACGCGGTAGAAATCGCGAGGGGATTTTTCAACTGGTAAGACGCGTTGCCGGGGCAACGGCTGAGTTTTCGCTCGGAGCTCGTACCCTTTGAATTTTGTTTACTCGCCCCGCAGTACCTATCCATCAATCACTACTCAAAGGAGGTATATAAACAGTCGGAATACGACGTGCGTCGCGGAACGCGCACAACTACCGCCGCGCTGCAGGACGAGAAAAGGAAAAAAATAGGCAATAAGGAACGCAGTTGGACAGATCGATAACGTTTAACGGTGTCGTGTCTCGTGCTAACATATCGTGAAATTGACTGCCAAATGTCAAGAGCGTTCCTATTCCCCTTTTTGAGCCGGACGATTCAATGAACTCAGACGGTTTGAGACTGAATTTTTATTTTTGAGCCTGAAAGGAAGACCCAGTTGCGCCCCCGCGGCACATGGTGTATCGAGTCAATAGGGGAGGTAGGACAAAATTTGGAAACTTTAAAAGCTTAAAACTCCACTCATACAAAATGTTGAGGTTTTAACAGCGGTTCCATGGGTTTCCCGGTGCAATTTTCTAGCATAAGCAACCCTTGAACTTTAAAATGTGACAAAATAAACATCAAAATTCGCGGTTATTGTCAAAAATTTCATGTCCGACCTCTCTAATTAACCAGATCCACTCCATTGTCGCCCTCCTCGTCTTGTCCCACCTACTGGTGGTGATCATCAAAGATTGGCAAGTGCTATACCGAGTCCCTATCACGCTCCTAGGTTCTGAGGATGTCCATGAAGCTCCGTGTCAGGATTGTCGGCTGTACTCTTAGTAACTATTGCATCACGCCCAGGTGGGAGTAGAGCTGATAACTTTCTTAGTGCTCTAATTGACCGAAAATGTTCCAACAGGTTTGATGTTATTTAGCCCATTCGGTTTTGGAAGAATTATGTTCGAGTCTGTTTGACTTTCATTGGCAATGTTCTGCAATCGTATCCTGAAAAATCAGTTATCCAAGTCAGTCAATAAACGTTGTGTAATGACCATGATGTACATACCTGGAGGTGAGTTCTTCTCTGAGGGAGTCAACGTCCCTTCGAAGGGCCGTCAGGGTGGCCAAAGTATTTTTCGGGCTCAGCTCCACTGAGACAGTCCACTGGTTTGGAGAACTGCTCTCCCCACTCAAAATCCTCATCCCACTTTTCACTCGCGCCCTGAAATCAAGGAAAAGTGAAGACAACAAATTAATTTCAATAAAACCGTGAACTTGTTTTGAGTATGATTTATTTTCACTGTATGGAGAAGTACTATCGGAAAGGTTTCAAGAAGCACGAAGAAATAAGCAAATCACTGTTTTATGGGATAGATAGAGTCAGGAAGACATTTTTCTTCAAAACAAGAGCTGTCGAGATTATTCTTGTTTAGACCGACATTTAGGATGGGTATTCCTGGTGACGCACAGAAAAACGGATTGTTCGTGGTTACTATATTCCTGCACTTGAAAAAAAAACACATTGGATCTAGAGTCCAAACTCTTGAAAACATTGACAAGAAAGAGGACTCTTGATTCAATCAGATTTAAGCTTAAATCAAAAGGAAATTTGCTCAAATTAAGAGGCTTGGTTCTTGATTTAAGCTTAAATCTGATTGAATCAAGAGTATTTTTTCTTGGCGATGTTTTTAAGAGTCTGGACTCAAGATCCAAAGTGTTCTTTTTCCAGTGTGGGTATATACATATAATGAGCACAGAGTTCACGAGTGCTACACCCGGTACTTTCAGCCTCCGAGACTGGAATGGACGGTATACCTGTATAGCCCGTAACACCACGTGGCCCGTTTTACAGCCGGATATTTTTTTCGGTGCAGATTTCCTGGGGAACACATAGCCAGGAATCTTGTAGCCTCTGACATTCTTTTTACATTCGTTCGCTACGTTGCTGTAAGGATTCTCCCATGTGAGAGGTATCGATTCATTATACATCGAATCGAATTTTCTTCTACCGAGGGAAATAATTCAAAAAGCTATCCTGCACAATCGATTTCTTTGTTGGACGTTAGACGTGAATGTATACCAGTCCTACCGAAACATCCGATCAAGATCATGATCATGACAACGCGGCAAAATTTGGACCTCCTCACGTCGCACAGTGAATGGAGTCAATTAAAAAGGTTGGACATGAAATTTTTGACGAACACTGCAAATTTTGATGTTCATTTCGTCACATTGTAAATTTTTAGGAATGCTCCTAGTAAGAAAATTTTACGAGGAAACTAATGGAACCACTTTTAGAACCTCAAAATTTCGTATAAATGGAGTTATAAGCGTTAAAGTTTCCAAATTTCGTCCGACCTCTCCTATTGGCTCGATCCACTGTGCGACGGTGAAGCCTAATGGCTTAGCCCCACCTCCTCTCATCCCATAATATTATTTTATTTTTCATTTTTTTTAAACGCATCCACGGTTACGAACGTGCCGCATTTTTAGATTCATTAAAATAATTTATTTCCAGGTGCCGTGGGACCCACAGCGGCGAAAAAAATGACTAGAATCCTTCCCGTCCTTGTTGAAAAATGCAGATTTCCCCGGGCTCGAAAAGTTAGCGAACCATGGCGCAAGAGGGAGACAGTGTGAAGAAAAAAGGGTTGGCAATCACTGTCCTAACGAGGAGGGCTGAAAACTGTGGCAGAAAGATGAAAGATGAGAGCGGACTCCTAGTTAAAATAAAATCCGCGTCGATAGAATGGAGGACCCGGAGGGGGCTGAAAAGGTGAATGGGAAATTGATTTTTGAGGGGGGGCTCCAGCGCCAGGTCATCCATCAAACGCGTGTCAACAGGAAATACCCGCTCCCGCTCCAATTATGCATTCACCGAGCATAATTACACTCTCCGTTTTCTCAAAAGAGGATTTTTTTTTTCTCCGAGGAAGTTGAGAGCCTCTTCAACATAATTGGAGCGCAATATGATGCTCTATAAACTTGGCTTCCCTTTAAAGAGGTCCTTTCCGGGAAAGAGGCAGGCTGCATTGTGACAAGCAAAGAAAATTGCCCTTTCTCCTGCGGATTTCGGGTTGCAAGATGCTCCGCTCCAAGAACGTTGAAATGACGCGAGCATCGACGAATCAACCAGAAGTTGATTTTGACCGTATTGGTAGGAGGAGAAACGAGGGAATTTTTGATTATTGCCTGCAAACTTGAGTTTCCCCATTTTTTCTGCTTTTTCATCTCCTTTCTGTTTCTTTTCTTACTTTCTGTAATAGACGCTTTTTCTGGTAACAGGGTGTCAAGGTTTTTTTTTTTTTTTTTTTTTTTTTTTTTTTTTTTTTTTTTTTTTTTTTTTTTTTTTTTTTTCATTTTGGGAAATCCTGATTTTTCCTGATTTTTGACAGCTAAATCCTGATTTCATCATTTTCCCAAATCCTGATCAAATCCTAATTTTTGCGGGAAAAAATTATAATTTCTACAAATGCGTCTACGAAAGCATAAAAAAATCCGATCGGACGGCCGTATTTTCTCAAATTCTCATTTTACGACAGATTTTTCTTCAGATCCTGATGTAATCGGAATTAAATCTTGATACTAGAAACTCTGGGACCCTGGGTGGCGCCGCCATAAAGATTCTTTATTGTATCGAATTAGATCCCAAAAATAACAATGAAAAAACCTCTTTCAATGTTACTAAGGATAAGGAGAATAAATCGATGTATATAAATCGCATTTCTATGACGTGGCACTATATAATAGCTTCTTTTCCCACTTAAGATCCGCTGATAAACTGACCCAACTCGTAATGTCATCATCTCATCCTGATTTTGCTAAGTTGTTTTCAAGGGATTTTGTGAGAAGGCTGAAAGAGTGTTTTTAAATGAGAGAGGGACAGGGAAAATATGCTTTTAATTCTCTTGCTCATTGTAAGAGGGGATGAAAAAGTTGAAAGCTTCGACAACTGGTACATTGCACTTCTCATTAAGGGATTGAAGTATCGAGAGGGAAAAAAGATGGATGGATTAAATGAATCCGTTGATGTTAAGACCTGGGGAGAGCACTTTCTGATGAGTCTTGAGTTCCATTAAAACGCATAAATTCTACGTCTCGTCAAATGATGAACTTGTTCGGTTTTGACATCCACCGATTCAAATCCTCATGAAGTTGGAGCCTTGGAGCTAGGCTAGATACACCAGCGCAGACGCAACAACTCAAGCGTCAGGGATGTGCTCGGAGGTATAAACGAAAAATGAAGGCGGTTCATCTGCTGACAAAATTCGTCTGAACTACCCTGATTTTGATGAATGTGGAATTGTGGCATCTCAATTTTCACAGTGTCAATATATTTTCTTCTGAATTTCATTGATTCCTTCATGCATGCAATATTTACAAATCTATTAGACTTTAATACCGAGGCCACATGCAGCAGGTGCACTGGAAATAAATGTCTCTCGGATGCAGAGTCCAGACTGTTAAAAATTTGACAAGAAAAAGTACTCTACAATCAATGGTATTTTTGCTTGAATAAAGAGCAAAGCTTCTTAATTGAGGCAGACTTCCTTCAGATTCAAACAAAAATCCGATTGAATCGAGAGTGATTTTTCTTGTCTATTTTAGAAGCCTGGACTCTAGATCCAAGAGACTTTTTCTTCCGTGTGATATCAATTGACCAATTACACTGGAAAAAAAAAACACATTGGATCTAGAGTCCAAACTCTTAAAAACATCGAAAAGAAAAAGTACTCTTGATTCAATCAGAATCTATCATAAATCAAGAACCAAGCCTCTTAATTAAAGCGGATTTCGTTTTGATTCAAGCAAAAATCCGATCGAATCAAGAGTATTCTTTCTTGTCAATGTTTTCAAGAGTCTGGACTCTAGATCCAATGTGTTTTTTTTCCAGCGTAGTTAATAACTTACAGCATTCGATGTACTCAGAGTATACATTGTGTACGTTTTTGCTTGTTTTCACAAACATAACGACAGTTATTAAGACAGGGGGAAAAAATTGAAATCTGTACTCACCTCAAGATGAACCCGGTAACAGTAGAGTCGTGCTTGAGCTGGAGGAAGATGGGGATGTGTATCCTCGACAGCGGATAGATCGGGGAATGCGGCAGCAGAATGGAAAGCAGATCATCGGATCGCAACTCGCGGTAGGCGGAGCGAGCCTGGACCAAGGGCACCGACGCCAACGGGGTCACCGGTTGAATCTGCACGCGCGGGATACAGTCCTCCGAATTGGAGCCGCGGGGCTCCAGAACCGAATACGCGACTTGCACGCTCCTCAGGGGACTCTTGTGGGCCCTGGCGTCGGCGTCAGGTGGCGTAAGGGGCGGCCACCAGGAGGCAGGGATCGTGACCTGGGCCAGGCAGTAGCCCTCGTCGCTGTCCGGGCTGCAGGCCGCGGTCAAGGGTGCGTAGTCGCCGTGGCTCACGTGGAGGATGACGCAGACCCTCTGGTGTCGGGCGCGGAGCTTCCGGCTGAGGGGGTCGACGCCGGTGTGGAAGACGACGCGAAGTACCGGGGAGTCCCGAGGGACGTCCGGGCGGACGACGTGGGCGGACATGTCGAGGTGGTGCCCGGCGGAGATCTCCAGCTCCTGGAGGGACGAGGAGGACGACGCGTTGAACGGGATGGGGTCGGGGACGATGAAGCGCGTCGGGACGGACTGCTTGGTGGAGAAGGGGCCGTAGGAAGCGCGGACGGCCGCCGGCTCGGAGGACGGTAGGACCGTGAAGCGGTCCAGGCTCAGGACGCTCGACCCTTCGGCGGACGGGCCCCCAGGCGCCCCGCCCGCCCCCGCCCCCGCTGCTAGCTCGGACACAACCGAGAAGTGCCCTTTCGTCGCGTGCTTCACGAAGAATCCGCCATCTTTGTTCTCCAGGTGAACGTCTACCGTCCCTGCTACGCCTGAAACGGAAATCAAAGGAGAAGTGTGTTATCACTTGAATTCAAAATTTGGGACAGATAATACATTTCTATGCTTCCGTGCTAAGGAAGAACGCCGTATGAGCCCTCAGACGATGCCAAGTTTCCTTCGATAAAAACCGAATTTACTGGGAAAATTGGGAATATTTCCCCCCAAAATTTTTAGGCTACTTCGTATGCAACTTAATTTAATACATCTGAAAATCTCAAAGGGAAATTTGCATGAATATCGTTATAAACGCATGTTTTATCATGGGAAATTTGGCAACTCTCGAATTTTCATACGGCGTTCTCCCTTAGCACGGCAGTATGAGCCTTGTCTCCACGAGATGTTTCATGGGATTTGTCCCAGGGAAAAGGCTCGCTTGCGAAGTTGGAAAAAATATTGAGTTGGTTAATAGTAATCACAGTGCCAACAAAGAGTCTTTATGGAGTCCGAGTAACGATTTCAAAAGAAGAATAATAAATTTTGTTGAGTTTTTTAACGGGAAGAAAACCTAGAAGTTTCATTCCTGCGATTCGAACTTGGGACAAATTTCGTGAAACGTCCCGAGGAAACAAGTCGTCAAAGGGAAATATTGTAAATCAACATCATCATTGAGCTCCAGTGCAAATGCGCAAAAAACCGTCTATGCAAATGCGTACTAGGTCGCATGAAAAAATGAGAGGGTTAGTTGAAACATTCATTTACAGGTGCTTAAACGGTATACAGATCCACCGAGCACAGATGCATGTACAACTGCATGTGTGTTGCGAATTCGCAATGAAAACGCGTATTTTTCGTGAAATCGCCATGGCAGTGGCGTAATTTTTGTATCTTCCTGGAAATTCTTCGTTAAAAAGAGAACGATGGTATATTTTCTTAGAAAATTAACCACAAAAGAAGGGCAAAAAGATCATCACTTCGAAAATTTTAAAAAAGGTGATTTTGAAATGAAGGAGCCAATATAAAAAATAGGAAAGCTAAGAACTTCCTTAAGCAGAAGTATATTTCCAGTCTTAAAGTATTTTAAGGTGGCTATGATAAAAACTCGTAACTTTAAAGTACCTTCAATTCCTAAAAAGTTCCCTTCATTACTTCGAATTTTCAACAAGACTATGGTGGAAGTTTTGAGAATCAAATTTCAACAGGAATGGGCGAGTTGTTCTCTTCAATGACTTGTGTTTTGACGGTTGTATAATGTACGAGGGGCGTTCAATAAGTAAGTATCCCCCCTCTCTAAAATCCATAAAAATGGACCAATTTTAAAAAACTTGGACTCAAAATCTTCCTTAGGATATTTTAAGTTCAACAAAACAAACCGCAACAAAATCGGACTATGTGCGGCCGAACGCGAGCCGTTTGAACGCGCCGAGGTGCTCGACGCTTCCGCCGAATCTGCGAGGATTTGAAGTCCGCTACAGGAGAAGAGCTTCTCTGCCAAAGCCTCAGTCGTTCATCACTGACGAAAAATCAAAGAAATTTTTGTAGAATAAGGGGCTTACCTCACTTCTCCACATAACCAGCTCGATCCAAGCAAGTCTGATACTGAGACTAAGACTAAGAGAACAGCTTTTGGATGCCTCGTGCGTGGCAGTCTTTCAGCTGACCGCGGATGAAAGAGTGGACGGCTTGTTTGACCTCTTCCACTGATTCAAAATTAACTCCTCCAAGTTCAGATTTCAGGAACGGGAATAAATGGTGGTCTGGTTTGCCTATTATCATCGTATCTGAAATCTGAACTCGGAGGAGTTAATTTTGAATCAGTGGAAGAGGTCAAACAAGCCGTCCACTCTTTCATCCGCGGTCAGCTGAAAGACTGCCACGCACGAGGCATCCAAAAGCTGTTCTCTTAGTCTTAGTCTCAGTATCAGACTTGCTTGGATCGAGCTGGTTATGTGGAGAAGTGAGGTAAGCCCCTTATTCTACAAAAATTTCTTTGATTTTTCGTCAGTGATGAACGACTGAGGCTTTGGCAGAGAAGCTCTTCTCCTGTAGCGGACTTCAAATCCTCGCAGATTCGGCGGAAGCGTCGAGCACCTCGGCGCGTTCAAACGGCTCGCGTTCGGCCGCACATAGTCCGATTTTGTTGCGGTTTGTTTTGGTGAACTTAAAATATCCTAAGGAAGATTTTGAGCCCAAGTTTTTTAAAATTGGTCCATTTTTATGGATTTTAGAGAGGAGGGATACTTACTTATTGAACGCCCCTCGTATAATGGGCGAAAGATAAATAGCAAGGAATAAAAATTCGTGCCGCATGTCTCATTTTCTAACATACCCCACTCCATCTAACATAACATAACGATATAACATCCCCACCCCCGGAACGTTACGTAATTTATATACGACCGCTACAAAGTTTCAGCTTATGACGTTGCTTAAATAAATGAAAAGTTGATCTACATCGGTTTGTAAAAATATACACGTAACACGACACTCATTCGCACCTCCTGCGGGGACAAACTTTTGAAAAATGACACGAAAGGGCGCTAAATTCGAGCTAAAACGGGGAGCGAAAAGGGGGAGTGAAATAAAGTTGCGAAAACGGTGCGAGCGAAAGCAGAGCAGGTTAACAAGCGACATTTCCCATTAATCAATTTACCGGGCCGGGTGAATGACGGGGCGGTGGGGGTGGTGAGGAGACCCTCCCCCCCCCCCCCCCCCCCCCCCCCCCCCCCCCCCCCCCCCCCCCCCCCCCCCNTGGAGAGGCGGGAGGGGGGGGGAGGTAGTTTGCAGGCGCACAAAATGTTATTCAACGCCCCTGCTCCGCGCGCCGATTCTACCGGTTATTCTATTAAATAATCCGCAACCTGACCAATTACTCGACTGCAAATGAACGTATTTATGCTAAAAGGAACTATGTTACACGCAACCCCTATGCACATGGTTCCTTTTAGCATAAATACGTCCGGATAATACTCGGTACTCTTCTGACCCTTCGGTGATGGTTTGATAACGACCCCTCGGAACCGACCTATCACATCACATGGGCTTAAGTACTTTCAAAGTTCCCGATTACCTGAGTTTTCTCTGGGTTTGCCAGGGAGGAGAAAGAACCGAATTCAGCAAAAAAATTATGAGGTATGAGCATGAGGTAATTATGCATTATTGCGGTCAGAACTTTTTTTTCACCATTCTTACTGTAAACTGCCAAAATTTCATGTATTATTTGGTGTGTTTCGCTAAGTTTTCCGCAAATTTCATGCTTGTAATTTTTCCCCATGGAATTACCTGGGTTTTCTTCTTTTCCCTGGTTACCCAATGCCCGGTTCCTAAGAACCTTATACATCATCTTTTCACCGATAATGAAAAAAAAAAACTTTGAATTTGACTACGCACGAGAAAAGGGACCGTGGACCAGCTAAGTACAAGGAGGAAAAATTTGCACGTAGCGACTCTGATTGTGAACTAAATAAAAAAACTCAGATTTTGAGATTTTTTAAATTAACGAAGTAGACAAAAATTCCCCAACCTTTGGAATCAACGTCTCGCCGCTACACATAAAATAAGAGACATATCTAGCATTAATTTTAAAATTTATTTAACTATTCTCATTTTTTTTTAATTTTAAAAGAGAGATGATAATTTATTGAATATGTCTCTGAAAATTTTACAAACAATGAAAACCTGAAATTCACGGAGAAATCGTGCATCAGAAGAGCACACAGGTCTTACATACATAAAGACAATAATTCCATTTATTTAACTGGAATTTTATAAAATTGGATATTCTGAGTTTCCAGGCCACCTTGCAGTTCGTGCCGGATCAAAAAACTTTTGCGGCGTCGATCAGTCCAGACTTTTCAACTCAAAAGTTTTCAGCCTTACGAAACTGAAACTAGTTGAAGGGTGAACTGCATTCGCTAGACATACCGAGCTCGGAACGTGAAAGCATGACACATTAAAGACTACCTGCGCAGTAATGCAGGCGTGTTCTTTGCTGTGCACCCCACAATTTTTCACGTATAATTGACAGTTTCTTACGAAAATTGCTTGCTGCGATATTCTTTGCGCCACCAAGAAACGGGTGAAAACCGACACATACAAAAGAGAGTCTCGACGTATTGAAAATGTCAGCTTTGCAATCAAATAGAGGTTTTCATCGCAGTTCTTTGTACCGGCTGTAATAGATGAAGAGCAGTGGCGGGGCGTGAATGATCGATTATCGATATATTTCCCCACTTAACGCTGTGGTAAAGAATCGATTTTTAAGGTGCCCGTTGCGACCACCCTGTTAATCGATCCTCTTTCATAGGTTTAAATGGCAAATCAATCCATATATCGCAAAACACGACACGCCACTGACAGGGAGACGTCTTTCACACCCAGGATCATGATACGTGCACGACTTACTCTGAGGTGAAAATAGGGGGCCAAAAATGTTCTACCGGACGAGGAATATATATTTAGTCGGCTTTTCTTTAAAAATATTTGCTTTTTAATTCCTCCTGGGTTTTTTTCCAGAGGCTCATACAAAGGTCAGTCTTGCACTTAAGAGTTGAGAAAAATCGACAGCGTGAATTTTTCTTTTAGAAAAAGGAAAAGTATAAATTGGTGCGTGATTGATCGGCTATGTCTTATCGCATCCTGCCTTTGCCCGATGGAATGGACGACATACTGTCGGAAACTTAAGAGGTGCCTTTAGCTCATGGTGTCTAGTTTTCTTGGCAAAGCTCACTCCCTGATTTTTCCCTGATTTTTAGGAGCTCATTCCCTGATTTTTCCCTGATTTTCAGGAGCTCATTCCCTGATTTGTCCCTGATTTTCAGGAGCTCATTCCCTGATAACCGAAGTTTTCACCTTCTTTCCCGGGATTTTCTAGGGGCAAAGAATATAATCTTCCAGAGTCTCAGATATGAATTTTGAGTTTAATTAATCTTATGGCCATTTCTTTGGCGCACATTCAAAATTTCAATTGAGGAGTTAGGTGCAAAAGGGGCGTCATTGACAAAATCGCGTTTTGAGTTATTCGTGTTCAAAGTTTGTTGTTGTACAAATGAAA